AAAAGAGAGTTCAGATTATTTCATCAATATCAAAACAAATTCTTATCTTTTAGCTGAAGGTCAATGCAATCGAATAACAAGTGTTTTACTGTAAATGGTTCGTACCATGCTTTGCATTGAGGCTATTCTTCGCTTTTCAATTCATAAGAACGCGCTTTGTACATTTGTAGGTACACCAACATTTCCTGTCTCCGGCACACATCCGCGCAAGGTTACACACACCCGCGCAAGGTTACACACACCCACGCACGGTTACACACACCTGCGCACGGTTACACACACCCGCGCACGGTTTCACACCCACGTCCGGTTACACACACCAACGCAAGGTTACACACACCCGCGCACGGTTTCACACCCCCGCCCGGTTACACCCCCCCGCGCACGGTTACACACACCAACGCAAGGTTACACACACCCGCGCAAGGTAACTAGTATGGAATATTTGTAAACAAAAACACCTGGGGTATGCATATCGTCATTCACATAATTTTTCCTTGATCATTCTTTATTTTACGAAGAGCAATCAGGTTTTATGATTCATCATTCCACTGTCCATCAGTTAATAGAAATTTACCATGATATATGTTGTTCATTAGAAGAAAAAAAATATACTTGTCTATTTTTTTGTGATATATCGAAGGCTTTTGACCGAGTTTGGCATAGGGGTCTTTTACATAAATTGCATGCTTATGGTATTAGAGAGGGTTTACTACATTTGTTAAAAAATTACATTTCAAACAGACAGCAACAGGTTCTTGTTAAAGGTGTGTTTTCTAATATAAGTTACACAAATGCTGGTGAACCACAAGGAAGTGTGTTAGGTCCTCTGTTATTTTTGGTTTATATAAATGATATTGTTGATAATTTAAATAGTATTTCACGCTTATTTGCTGATGATACCTCTTTGATATAGTCTTCGTCTTCTTATGCTGATATTGAAATGTGTGTCAACAGAGATTTTGAAAAACTTGACAAATGGTCACGGGATTGGCTTACTAAATTTAATCAACAGAAAACTGATGTGATATTAATATCTAATTCGCTAAATATACTTCCTTTACAGATTTGTTTTGGTACTGAGACTCTGAATTGTGTTGAAAGACATAAACATGTAGGCGTAATATTTAGTGCAGATGCAAAATGGTCTTTACATACTTCCGAAATTCAAAAAACATGCATGGAAAAAGTATCAGTACTAAGAAAGTTTAAATTTTTAAAGTAGGAAAACTTTGTTAAGAATATAAAAGTATTTGTGCTGCCTGTGTTAGAATATGCCTGTGAAGTTTGGGATGGTTGTTCTCTGGCAGATCTAACTAAACTTGAACAAGTTCAGCTTGTAGCAGCAAGAATTATTACTGGCCTACCCTCTTTTTCTAGTAAACAATCACTGTATCAAGAACCCCAACTTGAACCTCTATCTGAAAGAAGAAAACTTAAGAAACTTTCCCTAATGTACAAACTCCATAATAAACAAACACCTTCTTATTTAACTAACATTCTTCCTCCTAAAGTATGCGAACGCAATAGCTACAACTTGAGAAATACTGAAAACTACACTGTTCCCAATTTCCGACTGTCTAGTTCATTCCAACCCTTTATTCCTTCTTCTATAAGACTATGGAACGATTTACCAAATACTGTCAGAAAGCAGCCATCCGTTAACATTTTTAAATCATCGATTCAGCGTAACCAAGGTTACATGTTGCCTAATTTTTTTCATGTAGGAAATCGAAAA